TTTTTTTTTCATACAGAAGAATTCATTCCAAGGCAATTGACATTGAGACGTTTTCACACGCATTTCTAATCTCTATATACATGACTATCACTGGTCACAGTCGCCCACCTTCTGAGCTCCTCGGCATCTGAGCATGAATACAAACTTGTCAGGTAGACAGCCTTCCTCTCCCACTAGAGACTCCATACTCTGTCATCCCTGTCACTGTCCACTGTGCTGTCAGCACCCTCATCCATTCCCCCCTGTCTGCCCTTCTGGTAAATCTAGTCAGCCAGAGGTCCCTGTTCCAGGAGGGTCAGCTGTTCCTCATCTACGGCAATCCATTGTCAGTATTCCTTTGGATAGAATTTTTAAGAAATTAGCATAGCAACTGGGAGACCTTGTCAGAGAAGTGCTGAGGGTAGATGGATAGCCCTAAAAAAAGATTCTTAAAAACGACTGCCTCTTGCTTTGCTTTTTAAAGAGTATGGTCTTAGGTTGATTGAAAGAGGAATCTGTTATTTTATTTTGTTTTTAACCAGCCCTTTGACCGTGAACTCTCAAAAACTGATTAGGGTTTTTAAACCTCTGAACTTATTTCTTGGCAGTGACATTTAGAATTTCTTTGAACATGAACTTTTTTTCTTCAGAATTGAAGTTTCTCAAGTCAAATCAGTACACAGAAATTCAATTTACCCAGTCATTTAAGAATAAGCTAATGTTAGAAGTGATAGTATCCCTTTTGAACAGATTTTATGCCTTACCCACAGTTCCTCCTAGCCCACCCTTTGCTATCTACTATTTGGAAGGTTTTCGTTTTAAAAAAACAGAATTTCAAGCTGCAATTTAAACTTGGGCTATCTTTGTCAGCCTCTGAAAGGAATAGAAAAGTTGTACTTTCTAATCCAAATTAATTTTCACTTTTATTTTTTTGTTTTTAGTTTTCAGGAAGCTTAATTTTAGATCTATTAGATAAACCAAAGATCTTACGAAAGGAGATGAATTCAAAAATTTTTAAGAAGAAATTGTACACCTTTGAACAATTTTCCTACTTTTTGCCATACAAGTATTAGAACAATTAACATAACACCCAGAACAATCGAGACAGTCATTGTGCCTGCTTATCACCCCAGAGTTAGGCTGAGTGGAAATCTCTCAGGCATTCCTGAAAGTTAGAAACTGCTGCAAGAATTCTGTTACATGAACATATTTGGGGCTCTCAGCCCACAATGGTAGTGACCACCAGCATGAATGAAATATTTGGTTTCTCTTTATAGAGGAACTCACCAAATAAAACCCAAATGCAAACAACAGATTTTTCTGTGAGAAGCACTATATTAATCAGGTAAAGTATATGATATATATATATATATATGTTTTCCATAACAAGACATTATTAGTGCTTAAGATCATGAACTCCAAAGGCTACAAAGGAAATTAAAAAAAAAAACAGCACAATCTAAATTCATCTTAAAATTCTAGAATGCAGATTGTTCTTAGTGAACAAAAATAATGGGAATGACCTCAAATGCCAGCTTCCCTGCATAAGGCATAGCACAGTGAGAGACAGTATGAGTAGATTAAGAGCCACTGAGTTCACATTCCAGCTCTACCACTTGCCAGCTAGATGCTAAAACGTTCTGTGCCTTGACGTTCTCATCTGTCATGGGGTTGTTTTAAAGATTAAATGAGTAAAACGTACACAAACTTAAAGTACCATCCTATATATTTATATTGTGCATTTGTACATCTTGTTTATATGAGTCCATTTGCTATCACATGGAAACTCAAGGAATCTCGTGTTCAAGTATAACCTCTGGGGCATTGTCTCCGCAGGGATTATCTCCACATTCCTTCATGTGCACCCATTCGGAGCAAGCATTGAATACATCTGTTCCTACTTGCACCGTCTTGATAATAAGGTATGTGGAGGCCTCAAAGCAAGATACCAGGGGATAAAGGGTCCTTTGTATATAAGTGACCTTACTCTCTTCAATAAGCAGGGCATTACTTATTGCTCTCAGGAAGTTTCCCTTATTTCTAGTCTCTAGATTCAATGTAGAGCTTTCCTCTTGGAAGTAGGATGACTTCTCTCCTAGTTTGCCTGCTACTAGGAATTTCCCAAGACTTTAGACTTCAATGCTAAAACCAAGGAAAGCTCAGGCTAGAAGCCTTGGCTGTCCTCCCACTGTCACCTTTCTTGCCCATTGTACATTTGTCCTGGGCCTCTAGCCATTAGCAAATTTTGATTTACAAAATGAAAGTCTTGCTCCAACTACCCCTTCTGCCAGCACCACTCCTGAGAAACAGTCATGGGAGGTACAGAAAAGATGGAATATGCTGAGGGCTTTTATAACAGACTTGGTAGCTGCTTAGAGATGAACTTGTGGGTCATTTCTTGTTCTGCGTATTGTCCTCAAGGGAGGAGCTCACAGAGTACATGGAGTGCAGGGAAGTGCTCATTTATAGAAAGCCAAGGATGCCTCTAAGCAGCAAGAGGAGGCTCTTGACTCCTCAAAACAAAGATCCTTTTTTTTCCAGAAGCAGTATTTAGTTAAGTTTCCCTTAGATTGTAGTCACTATTTCACCAGACTGGGCCTCTTGGGAAGTGCCATTGAGTATGGATTTCTGACAGTTTGATGTCCAAAATGTTAAGTCACTGAAGCTTATGTCCTTTTAACAATGGTGCTGGCCCATTTGGGGACTTAATTGCTCTAAGTATATTCTAGCTATGGTGATACATCTTCCTTGATGGCCTTTGTGTTAGTTCTAGCTTGTGCTACTGCCTCATTTCCCTCTAGAAACCAATGCTATTCTGCTGCTGTATTACCCATTTGGCAGCGAAGAGAAGGATGGAATGGTAGTAGCAGGACCACATGGTCAGTTGTAATGGCTGATATATGTCAATAAAACTTCTCATTAGTTTTGTAATTTACAAAAATAATGCATGCTGTCTTTAAGAGTAAGCAATATAGAAATATAGTAAAGAAAAAGTAAAAGTTTTCCATAATCCCACTGTCAGAGATAAACACTGTTAGCAGTTTAGCACATATTTCAGACTCTTTTCCATATACACACTGTGACTATATGAATGTAACTATATCTGTTGTGAATTTATATTATTTGAAATTGGAGTTCTACTCCCTATAGTGTCCTTCAGTGTGTTTTGCTACTGGCACTAGGAGAAGAGCACGACGTCACTTTTAGCATAGGCCAGTTCCTCCCTAGCATCTTCCTGCCAGAATAATGTCATGACTTCCTAATGTGGGCCTTAAAGGCTACCTAAGTTCTGTGTGACAGCAACTCCAGAGTTCTTTAAGTTTCCTCTGGTGCTCAGCAGCTGAGCTCTGTGCCCAAGCTCACAGTTAAGAAGAGGGCTACTAATGAAAGTTCACAGATTTGTTTTGTGTGGAGGGGTGCAGTGTGTGTGTGTGTGTGTGTGTGTGTGTGTGTGTGTGTGTGTGTGTAGTTGGGGAGAGAAAATGATACATCAAAGTAGGAAGAGAGATCATTCTTCATTCCTGTTAGTTCTCCTTTGTGAACAAGTGCATACGTGGAGAATTCTGCTCCACTGACAGACATTCCTGTTTCCGTCCCCTCCCAAAAGACTTGGCAGCTCTAGCGGACCTGCACACAGCACCACCAGTACTGAACAGCCATCATTCAGTTGGCTACATGCCACAACCTCTCTGTGAAACTGACACCAGTTCTTGCCAAAAGCAAGATCAGTGGTCTGTATCTGGTGGTCACAGCAGATGAACACTGGTGTCTGAAAACCGTTCTAGCAACACACAGAAACACACAAGGGAAGAGAGGAGATTAGCTTGCCCCCACCCTCAGTGCACACAGCAGCAGCAGCAGACTAGAAAGGCAAAGCTGGTTTTGAATGGAAGATGTCTTCTCTGTCCCACAGATCTGCACCAGTGATGTGGAATGTCTCATGGGTAGACTCCAGCATACCTTCAGACAGGAAATGACCGGAGTCGGAGCCAGCCTAGAGAAGAGATGGAAATTCTGTGGCTTTGAGGGCTTGAAGTTGACCTGAATCTCTTCACCCAACAACTTCAGATCTTAAAAATAAATACGTGCTGGACAAGCTTAGGTTTTGTATTTTCTGTGGTTTTCAAGTGGAAGTTGTTTTAATTTGTCAGTTCATTCCTGGGATATCTTTCAAGTTAAAATAAGGATCCTAAAGCAGCACCTCGAGCTACAGGTCCTGAAAAGAAATTGCCTCAAACCTCAAGTGCTGTAACTTCCTCCTGTTTTTGGCAATTGGTTGTCTTTTATTAATAGTATTGAAAAAGTCCTAAGGCTAAAGAGTATTTGGAGTGTTTTCAGTGTCTGTACTACTGTTGTTAGACCTTGGAATTTTTTTTTTAAATACTGTTAACTGAAATGTTTTGATGATTTGTATGTGATTTGTGTTTCCAGATTTCCCTTTACATTAATGTTGCTACTGGTAAAAGGAACAAGAAGAGCAGTAGGTGTTCTGCATAACTGCCATTGTCTTTCCAATCCCCAGTAGATCAGTAACCAAACATGCCATCAGTGTCTTCTAGAAGGTGCTTGACCAGTTCACCTTTGAAACAAGAAAGCATGATCTGTGGCTTTTTGCAAAAATGCTTTGAACCAAAAGTTGACAAATGTTCCAAAGTTATTTTCTTCAATAGATAAAAGGTCTGTTTCTGAATTTTACAAAAGGAAACCTGGATGGATTCACAGAAATCAAGTATCCAGTATGACTAGCGAGTGTGTGTGCTTTTCAGTACCGCTTGTAAATACTCTGCGTTTAAAAGAGGGCATGTTTAGTTTTCTATGAATTAAAATGCACTCAGGCGTGGGCACACATGCACACACATTAGCAGAAGGAACTTATTTAAATATTCTTTCCCCTCTGGCCTTCTAACAGTCTGTTGGTCCCCTTTTATTCTGCTGTTAGTATGTTGAATTGCAAACTGTGTACTGCTGTAAATATTATTTACTTCATGCTGAATATTTGTAAAGAATTGATATGAATATTAATAGTAATGACCTAATGAATAAATAGTGGTCTAGAGTATGTGAGGCTTTCTGAAAATAAGTCAATTTCACCTGGAATTCTGATAGTTCAGTGGTGCCCACCAGCAGATTACAATGGCCTCTCCGAGTGTAAGTGGACCATTCAAGAAGTCCTGCTTGGTAGAAAAAGAAAGGAAAGGGTGGAAATTTGGGGCTGTTATACTAAGGTGTGGAAATAGTCTTTAATTTATTAATTTTTGTGGTGGTGATGGTGGTGCTTATAATTACACAAGCATGTCCTCGCTTGAGCTCAGTTGAAAGTAACAATACACTGAGTAAGCATAGCCAGCGGAGTGTATTTCATGAAAATACTTTGCAATTGAGATGCCAGTGGTGTTCACAGATGTATTTTTAAAATATAAATATTCCTTTTTGTACCTCAGTTTTGTGTTCTGTTTTGAATGGCTTGCTTTCTAAATAATTCTTTAGTAGATCATTTCGGCTTCTCCCTTTGAGTTACGGATGGTGGAAGAAGATGCCAAATTTGCTTGACAACTAGAAATAGAAACTCTGAGGCTGCCCATTCATGCTGAAAGTTGGCTTTCCCCACAAGCACCCCACTGTGGCTCCAGCAGGAAGTGAGGGTTATTTTTACAGTAGCTTCCTCACTGAAGCACCTCTGTCATCAAGGCTGCTGCTGTCGAAGGCTTTGATTCATTGGTCTCAGGGGCTCCTGAAGTGCCTTCTTTTGAACAATATCTATAAAATGAAGAGAAATTTTCCACTCATTTATTTCTCACTTAAATAAGTTAAATAAAATTACATTTCAAAGCAAGAGCTGCCACCCCTAAACATCTCAATCATCTTCACTTCCTCTATGTATGCCACAAACTCTTTTTTTTTTTCTTGAGGCAGGATCTCATGATATAGCCCAGTCTGGTCTGGAACTTGCAGTCCTTCTAGCCTTCCAAGTGCTGGCATGCACCACTGTGCCTAATCAAAGTATCTGTTTATGCCTGCCAGTTTAGTCCAGGCACAATTCTTTTACCATGTTTCAGTATACTAGTTGTGATGGTAACTGCTTTGTCTCAAATTGACCATTTGTTTGCTCCCATGCCAGTCTACATATTGGTGTAGAGGTTATTTCTTTAAATGTTCCTAAAATTTAAACCAGGATCTGGAGAGATGGTTCAGAGGTTAAGATCACTGCTGCTCTAGCAGAGGAACCACATTTGGTTCCCAGCATCCACATGGCAGCTAGCAACCATCTGTAACTGCAGCCCCAGAGGATCCAACTCCCTCTTCTGGCCTCCATGGGCATTGCACATACATGTTGCACTTACATACATGCAGGTAAAATATTCATGCACATAAAATAAAAACTATTTTTAAAAAACTCTCTACCAATATTCTTTGGGTAATGCAGCCTCCACACTAAAATGTAGTGGGCCTCATCTAATTCATTAACAGTCTCTAGAGGAAAGGCTAAGAGGTGCCCTGAGCAAGAACTTCTGATTCCAGGCTACCTTCTCTTGGGGTCAAAACTGCAACATCAACTCTTGTCAGAATTTCCAGCCTGTTAGCCATCTCTACAAATCTACAAATCTCAGCCCCCACTGTTATATGAGCCAACTGCTAACATTTTTGCATGCATGCACGTGTGTGTGTGTGTGTGTGTGTGTGTGTCCCATTGGTTGTGTTTTCCTGGAAAATCCTGACTAACATACTACTACAGAGTTGTTTTACTGTGTAAGCATAGGGTACAATTGCACATAGTGGTTCAGGTCTCTAATCCCAGCACTTGGGAGGCAGAAGTAAGAGGAATTCGTCTTTAGCTACATAGCAAGTTTATAGCTATCCTGGGCTACATGAGATTCTGTCTCAAAAAAAATCAGCAAGAAAAAAAGAGTACACTTGTATTATATTGCATAATCAAATTGCAGCACACATCATTTCTCACAATCCTTTCCCTTCACTATAGAGATCTATTGATGAAGCTATTTTTCCTTAAAATTTCTCAATGCTATTTATGGTTCTTTTGTTCCTCCATAATTTTGAAATATTGCCATCTTGTTATTTTATGAGATACAGTAGTTATAAGTGTTCCAAATAATAATGAGTAGAAGATTTCTTTTATTTTACAAATGCTTGTTTCATCTCTCTCTCTCTCTCTCTCTCTCTCTCTCTTTTGTCTTGTGACATCTCTAGTTCTGATTTTTTAATATTACCAAGTTGCTTGTTAAGTACTTTCAATACAAATGAAAAAGATATTTTTCAGAGAAAATTATATACATCTGTGTTCTAGTTATACAGACTTTGAAAAAAAACTTGAGCCCTAAATATTTGATTTAAGTATAATACAGAATGAACTGTGTTATTTGTAAAGACTGTGTAGATATGGAAGAATTTTTATTTAACTTTTTTAGTATCTCATACAAAAGTACTGTGTTTACATCATTTCCATCCCTTCCCTCCCCCCTTCAACTCTTCCTGTTTCTCCCCACTGTCTCTCCCAAATTCATGACCTCTTCTGTAATTATTATTGTTACATACATACATATGTATATACATGCACATATTTGTATAACCTACTGAGTTCATTAAGTGGTGCTTATGTGTACATGTGTTTAGGACTGGCCACTTGGGTTTGGATAACCTGTCAGGAAGCTGGTCCCTGGAGAAAATTGATTCTCCCTCTCTCAGCAGCCATTGATTGCTTGTAGCTCATCTAGGGGTGGGGCCTCTTGTGCAAGAACTTTTAATCAGTAGAACTGTGTGAGCCCTTGAGATTCTCAACTTCTTAAGATGGTCCATCAATTATAATCTAGGTTCATTTTATTCACAACAATTGCTACCATTAGCTGATCGTCTATTATGTACTCATGCTGCCCGAAGTCACTTGCTGCCTACATGTCTTTAGGTAAGATATATGGACACGAGAACTTCAATTTCCTTACAGAAAAGTTAACAAGAATTAGTACATACCTCACAGGATGATAGTAGAGATTCAGTATCATAGCATCCTCAAGTTGCATTGCCAGTTCATTGCTCACAATGAGTTCTCAACAAGTAATAATTAAACATCTGATTCAAAGTTCATTACCTATTTTAAAACTTTTTTTATGATTTTACCTCAAATTATACGGCTGTATCATGTTTCCTGACTCTAGCAAAGGAAATTCTCCTGTTTTATTTCCAACATTTATTCTGTCCCAGATGTTTTGCTAGGCACTGTAGGATATGAAAAGAGTTTGGATAATTCTTGAATCAAGAAGATAGAAAGGATCCAGGCTTGGTGGAGCTGGGAGGTTGAAACAGTAGGGTCATGCATTCAAGACCATTCCTGGGCTAGCAAAACCAGCCCAGGCAGCTTAATGATACTCTGTTTCCAAACAAAAACTTAAAAGAAGATTGTGGATATAGCTCTGTGATAGAACTTGCCTCATATGTCTAGAGCCATAGGTTCAATCCCCCCAGACCACAAGAGAAAAAGAGGAAGGGGGGAGGAAGAAGAGATTATCTAAAGGTAGCATTTAACACATCAACCCTAAGTCCTTCACCCTTTAGCCAAAGTCATAGTAACTCAACATAAAAATAGTTGACTAACCATGAATGATGTGGACAAGGTGGACATGATGTCTTAAGTCTGAGTCCTGAATTCTCTACACCCCCACTCTACCACAGGAATGAAAGTTCCATGAGAATATGGTCCGTATTTGTCCTATTCACTGCCATTATCTGCTGAACCTGGTGCATTGTAGGTTGCATACCATTCTTAGTTCCATAAAATAATACTGATAATGATAAAAGCTAACACTGATCAGTGAGTACTACAAAACAGGCCATAAATAGGTGACAGATAGAGACTGTATGGTGTCAGGAGCTTGAGACAGCTGGACACATTGCAGCTGCAGTGAGGAAGCAGAGACAGATGAATTCTGGTGCTGTGCTGGCTTCCTCTTTGTTCCCTTTTTATTCATTCTGGGACCCATAACCCATGGGACCGTGCCACACATATTCAGGTTAGCTTAGACAAATTCAGATGTTTTTACTGACCAAAGCTTCATCAAAGGTAGGTAATACCTGGTCCCAGTGTCTTTCCAATTCTTCTCCCTCCCATCACAGGCAGATCACATCCCATTAAGAGAACCAAATTGGCCTTACCATCTCCAAATTGCCCAAGATGTGTAATGTCGTCCTGGTCTTTTAGTTCAACAATAAGGTTTGAAGACCTCAACTTGCCTAAATTTTTTATCTAGGAGAAAAATCTCAAAGGAACACTGGAGCAATTGATTAAAGGAGCAACAGAAGGAAAGAAGAGGCATTGATTATACACAGGTATGAGCCCTGCAGGCTGTACAGCCTTCTGAAGATACTATTAGATCTTAGGAGGAAAATGGCAAGCATGACACATTGAAGAGCATTCCGCCCAACTGCAGTCACTCCAAATATGCTTGAGCATTACAATGCCCTAAAATTAATAATCCTCTTCAGCTCTAGACTTTTGAAACCTTAACTCCTTAATATTCCTCAATAAAAATTTTGTGCAATGCTTTAAAGGGTTTCAAAGCAACTGGATGACCAGGCACTGTGACATTTGATTTTCACAGCACCCTGTGAGCCAGCAGGGGCAGATGGCTCCCTCACTGTTAGAGCAGCTGAGAAAATTAAGACTCTAAGGGATAAAGAGCTCTAGCCTGGGTTGTTGCACTGCTAAGTGGATGATGGAGCTGGGATGACAATGCACGATTCCTGATTCCTTGCGGTTATCTAGTCCACCTCAGCCCCAGCCTCTGCTTTGTATAGTCGAAGGAAAGAATACAAAATAGGGGCTGAGGAGATGGTTCAGCGGTTAAGAGCCCTGGCTGCTCTTACAAAGGACCCACGTTTAAGTCCTAGCACCCACATGGCAGCTAACAACTGTCCAAAACTCCAGTTCTAGGGGAATCGATGACCTCTTCTGACCTCCACGGGCATTGCATGACACAAGTACACTTGCACACATGCAGGCAATACACTCATACACATAAAATTTTTACAAATTTTTTGTAAAGAATACAAAATAGGGGCTCTTGCAGTTTTGGGGGTTCATGGACCTCCGTCAAAATAATATTCTTAAATGTGTGAATGAAATTAAATGCAAAGGATTACAAAGGAAACCTACCGTATTCAAACACTGCAGTTCTCACAAAATTTAAACTACAGAATTTATTTCATTACAAATGCTAATATTTATAACTTAGAAGAATTCCCATTGCATAACAAATGCTAACTAAGTTTATTACTCTATCTCCCCCTCATCCAACCTCCCTCCTCAGTCCAAGCACCCCCATTATCCCCACCTTCCACCCAATAACACCTGCCTCCCACCATCCCTCCCTCTCCTGAGTTCCCTCCTCCCCAACCATGGCCCCTGCATGTCCCTTCCTCCTTCACTCCCAG